CGGGGGGCACCAAGGTTGACCCGGACATACAGGTTAGTCATGCACTGGGGTCATCTTGCGACGGTGGTGCCTTTCAAATTATTAGTATTTTGTTGTCAGAGAAAAGAGGATTTTTGATTGGGTAAGTTTTCCCCTAAATTTAACCTCTGGTTGGTTGTGCTGCCTGCTGTCGGCACATCGGTATTTTGAGTCTATATCCTGTTCATTATGGAAATGAGATATGCAGTCATTGAACACCAAAATGTGTGCAATATAAGATTATGAAGATTTGTTTGATGAATATTAAGAATTTTGAAATGTGTCAGTTTGACGCATATCTATCACAATCGGTAATTTCATTAAAGTGAAGTGGCGTGTTAACGAGATTTCAGTATTTTCTAGATGTTGGTAAGATCATCTGGTGATTAAGGTAATTTCGGAGAGAAGCATTTAGCAGAAAACCAGTAACTGATCCATATTTTCACATCATGATTCATACAAGTAGATTTTTCGTTTTGTAGGAGTATTGTTGGTTCAGGCGTAGGTAGAACTAGCGATCCAAAAGTAGAGTAAGTCGCATAAGGTCTGTAGTTACTGTAGTCTGCTGCTGACATTCAAGACTTGAATCTTTTCCTTGGTCCTGTTCTTGAAAAGGATGGGAGATGTAGACATCGGGTGAACATATCTGAGGCTTAGACCTTAGTTTATCCCTCGATGGTAATTCTTGGCCGCACGCTGGCTTGTTGGCGCCACCCAAGCAAAACAGACCGACTCTGATTGCATGGCTGCGTTCAGTTTGCGCCGCGCGCGCTTGACTTCGCTCGGCCAAGATGGCGGCGGAGGCAGGGCGCAACCTTACCGAAATGTGCATGGATTTGGCAGGGAGGAACTCCGCTGCAATCGACTTTGTGACATTCGGGAAAGATGCTTGGTGGCTGACTGCTGAAAGTGAAATACGTTTCCTGTGATGTCATAATCGCTATGCTCCCGGCCCCGACCGCTCGACGGGCAAGGCGCATTCCCGGCTTCTTGCGGCGCCACAGGGGACACCGCGTTCCCGAAACACATCGTTAGTTTTTCTAATTAATCGAAGGACTTTGCAGCTTTCCGAGGCGAAATAGAAAGCAATTCTCGATAGAAACAAGATGAAAGTCATAGAAAACATTGTGACCAAGTAGTAAACGTGAAACACTTCATATTCTAAAGCAAGTGCGGGACGCGTGTGCGCATTCCCCTAATCCCCGGCTTAGGTGACTCAGTCGTTAGAGCCTTCAGGAAATCCATTCCACCAGGTGGTTCTTAGAACAGTCGATTGAAATACATCTCGAGCTAGTTCAGTCCACGACCATGTGCTGTGGATCATTCGACCTTATCGCGAAGTAGGGTAGTGTCTCCCTGACCTCATTTCTCCCCAACGACCCTGTTCGGGGCCGTCGCGCGCGAGCATCGTGGAGAACTAACTCTCAGCTTGTGTTGATGGCCAGCATGGACTCCGGGTCAGAAATAACGATGTTATGTTTGCGAACATGCCTGCTCCTTTGACGCCTCCGCCCTTGTACATAGTACCAGTAAGTACCAGTACCATATAACCTTTATGATATACACACACACACACACACACACACACACACACATATATATATATATATATATATATATATAATATATATATATATATATATATATATATAACACATATATACATATATACATATATAACATACATATACATACATATACATATATACATATATACATATATACATACACACATACACACATACACACATACACACATACACCACACACACACACACACACACACACACACACACACACACACACACACACAACACACACAACGCGCGCCGTATATATATATATATATATATATATATATATATATATATATATATTATATAATATATATAATATATATGTGTGTGTGTGTGTGTGTGTGTGTGTGTGTGTGTGTGTGTGTATGTATATATGTATGTATGTATAATCACGTGTCCCAAAGCTAATGCTTTGATGTCCGGAGAAAGGTTTAATGTCCAGATAATGCTCCTCTCTTTGTCTAACACTGGCCTCTGTCTGCCCTGGCCCTTTCCCGCCCCGGCCGGCGCCACAGGTGCGCCCCCTCGTAGGCTGGTGGGGCGAGGGGGGCAGCGCCGGCTCCGTCCTCGAAGACACAGCCTCCTCCGACGAGTGCCACCGGTCCACGCTCACGCTCGTCCACTCGCCGGCGCGCACTGTGAGTAGCGCTTGGCCGCCGCCTGGCCCTCTCGTTCGCCTCTCGCTCTTCCTTTCGCCTCTCTCTCTCTCCCTCTCTCTCTCTCTCTCTCTCTCTCTCTCTCTCTCCCTCTCTCCCTCTCTTCCCTCTCTCCCTCTCTCCCTCTCTCTCGCTGCTCTCAATCTCTCTCTCTCTCTCTCTCTCTCGTCTCGTCTCTCTCCTCCTTCCTATCTCTCTCTAGCTCTCTCTACTCTCTCCCCTCTGCTCTCCTCTCTCCATCTCTCATCA